GAAGCTGATGGTTTAGATCTCCACACTCAAAGACAGCTTTCCACTGACCAGCCTTAAGTAGATTTTTCAAGCCTCAGTCACATGAAGTTTATAATAATGAATGCAAGATCCCAGTACATCTGTTCTAGCAATTTTAAAGGGAAATATTAGGAATGTATCAGATTATCTACCTAAAGTCAGAACATTATTTCTTTTAAGCACATGTGCATCCCTTTTTTAGTAATATGGAGGGGTAGGAGAAAAGAGCTTACATAGCAAAGAATAAGATTTCATGTCATCATCTTATTTGGTTTAAGGATCCCAGAGAGTGGGGCTCCTGAAAGTGCCGGGGGGAGCTCTGTTTCTTTGACCTCTGTGCCCTTTGCAAAGTTTATCTTAAATCTGAGAATTCTCTTACTCTAGGAACTCTTTTTGGCATGTGCAGAGAATGAGTTGTAACTAACTACTTTCCCCCAACCCCCAAGTCACTACAATGATCTTTCCAAGACTTACCTAAAGGAGAGACCATCCTTTTATCCAGTGGTTTTCAAACTGTGGGTCATGACCCAATACGGGGTCGCGGAATGTAAGGCACTGGGTCGCGGCAGCTCTGGTCAGCACCGCCAACCGGACCATTAAGAGTCCCGTTGGCGGTGCTGCTCGGCTAAGGCAGGCTAGTCCCTACCTGTTCCAACACCGCGCTGCACCTCGGAAACAGCCAGCAGCAGGTCTGGCTCCTAGGCCGGGGGGGGAGGGGGGGAGGGACGACACAGAGCTCCACACTCCTATTGGAGGTTCCCGGCCAATGGGAACCGGTGGGGAGCGGTGTGCCTGCAGGCGAAACATGGAGCCACTTGCACACCTCCGCCTAGGAGCCGGACCTGCTGCTGGCTGCTTCTGGGGAGCAGCGCAGTCCGTGGTGCCAGGAAAAGCAGAAAGCCTGCTTTAGCACCCCTGCTGCGCCGCTCACCGGGAGCCGCCCGAGGTAAGCCTGCGCCCCAATCCCCTGCCCTTAGCCCCCCCCGAAACCCAGAACCCCTTCCTGAACTCCAAACCCATCATCCCTGGCCTCACGCAGAGCCTGCACCCCCAGCCCTGATCCCCTCCCAAACCCTAACCCCCTGCCCCAGCCCTGAGCCCCCCCCCAAACCTGGAGCCCTCTCCTGCACCCCAAACGCCTCATCCCCAGCCCCACCCCAGAACATGCACCCCCAGCCCAAAGCCCTGCCCCCTCCCACACCCCAATCCCCTGCCCCATCCCAGAGCCCCCTCCCACACACCAAACCCCTCATCCCCAGCTCCATTGGGTCACGGGCATCAACAATTTTCTTCAACTGGAAAAAGAGTTTGAAAACCACTGCTTTTATCCACCTATTTCCACTAGGATTTCCTATCAAAGTGGCTTAGTAAATAACTAGTGTTTAATCCACTGAAAAGGAAAAGCCTAATTTGTCTTTCTCCTTCTTATCACCCCGGGATGTAAGAGCTACCTTACCTGACAGAGGAAATGGTAGTGGTTTCCTCTCCCTAGGTTGTCTCTGACTATGTTAAGTGAACCTTACTACCTGTGCCAGTGACGGCCACCAAAAAATGGCAGCTAATTTTAAAATCCACAAGTGCAAAAATGAGCAGTCAAGTAGTGAAGCAGACTGAGTCATTCTGCCATATAGGTCAGCCAAGCTGTAATTTGGGGATTCACTGCTTCTGCTAGAAACTCCAGGGAAAAGATCAGTTTACGTAAAGGCTTTTGTATAGTCTTGGGAGCTTCAGTTAGATTTTGGCAGTACTCAAGATTTTGGGACACTGTACTCCACCTTGCATTTTATCTCTTCTTAAAGAGACACTCAACTTAAATTGCAAATAACCACTGGCACCTTAATATTTCAGTCTTAATAGTGTAAGTCCACTTTTTGTTTTATTGACTTATTGCATTTTTCAGCTTGGCAAACAAAAAAACCCTATAAAGTCAGTTTCACTTTCAGATTCTTAATGTTTTAATACTGGAGTTTCTAGCCCTCAAGGGCTAATCATAATCTTCAAACACAAAGTGAACCTAAACCAATGCAGTGTTGTCTTCCCAAGTGCGTCTGTGGCTACTGATACATGACAACACTATGCTGAGTGAACAGTGGTACAGTATTATGAAGAGCAGCAAGTGAACGTATAAACACTCCTCTGAGTCTCAGGCATCTATCTTCCTGGGAAAGTTCTAAGCAACTGCAGAAGAAGGTAGTAGAGCTATTCATGCAGGAAGACGGCCCCAAAAAGGCTGGAGAGAGCAGTAGAGACCATTCATAGTCATGATGCTGTGGTGTAAAGTTTGAATAGTAGAATCCTTGCCCCACCCAACCGTCAGGAGAGTGTGCAAGAAAGCTCCTCCTTTCCAACAGTCAAAGGAGGTAGAAAAGAGCCTCTATTTTCCAGTCATATAAAAGCAAGAAATCCAGTATGAAAATGGAGCCATCAGAGCATGGCCCAATGACAATGACCCACTAGGAATCCTTGTACCTTCTCCCTTCCCAGCACTTGTGGGGCTAGCCTCCTCAGTAGTATGCTGCCTCTGGATCTTACGTGTACCCTCTGTATTCCCATCTATATCTGCTTTTTGCTGGTACGTTTAGTTCTCTAGGGAGAAATTGAGTATATTTTTCATGTAGACTCATAGCAGTTTCTCATTAGTCAATAAAATGCTTTGAAACTTAAACCATGCATGCTCATCTGCATTGCTTAGCTTATCAGACCATGCTGCTCTGTGAACTCTTCATAAGTTATGAAGACTTACCAGACAAGTTAAGAGCAGCTATGCTAAAAAACTGACCTGCCTCAGCAAATGCATTTTTTATTTTTATTTTTGGAAAAGCAAAAAAGATTTTTCCTGATACTGAAAGGACATTGAAAGACCAATGATCTACTGTTAATAGAAAACACATGTACTGTTAGATTATTTTTAAGTAACTTCATTGTGCTTTGTGTCTCTGTAGATACAGATTTTACCATCAGCAATGATCCATTTTACAGAAGACTACAAAAAACCCTTTCAAAGTGGAACTTCTACCAAGTTAAGTCAGTTTTGTAGCTCATTTTAACAGTCTTCGACACAGGTTACATGTAACCTATGTATTGTGCAATTTCACATTTAGTTTTAGAGATTCACTGTAGAAGCTAGTAGTTCATACAATATCCATTCAGAAGAGGCAGTAAGACATCAATTATCCTGTTGATCATTATTTCAAATGTAGTAGTCCCATTATTTCTTTCTATTCATTTAACTGGAAAGTGATAAATCTTAACTGTGGAACTTCATGTCATTTCCCTCCCCTAAACCCAATTCCAATTTATTTTTAACTTTATATTCAATAAAGGTTCAAACATTGCATACAAAAAGAAAATTAATGGTAGCAGTGCTTTCAGTCTGAATGGTTATAGAAAGTAGACCTATCATATTTTTGGTTTTTCAATTTTTTGTTTTATCAACTTTTATTTTTATAAAAATACTGGGCAAAAAAATCATTAGTGATGCTTTTACAACTGGAAGAGTAAACAAGAGGGATAGAATATTCAACAACATTAATTTTGGGCAGGACTTTCAAAAGTGCTGAACAACCACAGCATCTATTGATCTCAAGAGGAGCTGCATGTGCTCAGCATACTTGAAAAACGTAGTCACAGTAGTACCCACATTTTCACTTTCAAGTTCTTCCTTTATAATGCTGAAGAGGGTCTGGAAGAGGTCCACAGCTCATGTCTACCCCAATAGCAAAAACAGCAACACCATAATTCCAATTTTACACACCAATAGGAACAGTATTACTAGAACACAGAAGTTTAAAGAGTAAGATTAAAGCCACAGAACATGCTCTGTTCTACAAAACTAGTTTTCCTTCAAAATCAACCTCAATACATTCTTTATATGCTACACCGGGGTGGGCAAACTACGGCCTGGGGACCGCATTCGGCCCTTCAGACGTTTTAATCCAGCCCTCAAGCTCCTGCCAGGGAGCAGGGTCCGGGGCTTGCCCCGCTCCGGTGCTCCAGCCGTGGGTTTGCCCTGCTCTGCACATGCCATGGCTCCCGGAAGCAGCGGGATGTCCCCTCTCCAGCTCCTACGCATAGGGGCAGCCAGGAGGCTCCACACACTGCCCCCACCCCAAGTGCCGCCCCCACAGCTCCCACTGGCCGGGAACCATGGCCAATGGGAGCTGCAGGGGCAGCGCCTGCAGATGGGGCAGCGTGCCGAGCCGCCTAGCTGCGCCTCTGCATAGGAGCCAGAGAGGGGGGCATGCCGCTACTTCGAGGAGCTGCTTGAGGTAAGCGCCGCCCGGAGCCTGCACCCCAACCCCCATCCCAGCCCTGATCCTCCTCCCACCCTCCAAACCCCTTGGTCCCAGCCCGGAGCACCCTCCTGCACCACCAATTGCATTCATGGCCCGCCATACAATTTCCATACCCAGATGTGGCCCTCAGGCCAAAAAGTTTGCCCACCCCTGTTCTACACTAGGTTTTTCTAAAGAGGGCATATGGCTAAATATCTCACATGTCTGAGTTGCCCTGTTTTCAATAATACAGAAAAGCAAAGAGAAGCCCCTCTAAGATCTACCTGTGCCAACATGTGGTATTGGGCAGTCATTTTATATGTACTCTGTTCATAAATTAAGAGCCGCACTATTATATTTTGAAAACTTTTTAACCTTCAAAAATAAAAGCAAACTACTCTACTTTCATACTGAGCATTCTTTGATTTTCTTCAACCCTGTCCACATTCAACATTTGAATGGCCATAATCAGTTACCACAAAAGTTTATTAGCTGCTGCAAGGAGGTATCTTTAAGGGGTGCATGAGAGAGAAAGAAATTCAGTGTGTTTAAGAGACCATTTGTAATAAAAGCCTCTGTTTTCATACAGAGTTGTGATCAACAATGAGAAATCTACTAGTCAAGGGAACTGAAAGTGTTTCTTACCCAGGAGTTTTTAATTCAGAGATTAAATGTAGGGGATTTTTTAATACATCTTAGAATGCTTACCTTTAAATTTAATGTCCAGACCACTAAATTCCAATTCAACTCCTTGAAGTGCTTCTCCTAGTGTTTCATGATAATGACTGATGCTTTTTTTTGATCCCACGCAGAAGGGAAGAGAGAAGTATTTGTATGTCTCTTGGCGATTGTGGTAAGGTCCTACTGTATTCATCCAAAGAACGACTTCTTCTTTATCTTGGTACTAAAAGAAAGCATATTGAAACATATGAGAAGTCTATCACAGTAAAAGTAAGCACATCCATTCTTCATGTTATTTAGAGAGGCAGTGGTATATTTGGGGAGTTCAGAAAGGAGAGGTCCAAACACCATCTGCACTTTGAATTAAGACAACTAAAAGAACATCACATAAGACAAATATTTGGGGGCGGGGGGGGAGGAATCTATGCCTGCTCCTCTTAGGCATTTAAACAAATATTTGGCATAAGGGTATGAAGCATCAGTGGCCCTTTACAGGTAACATTCCCAGAAATTGAAAGCATAGAAACTTACAAAAAGCATTTATCTTTTTTATCTGCAACTGTATAAATTTGCCAAAGACTGCATACAGGATGCGTAAATTGTACCTTGGTAGAACACAAATACCCTCCATCTTAATAACTAGAAGTAGCAATAAGTGTAGCCCTCTCAACAGGGTTTTGCCCTGGACTTCTCTGTAAAAGCAATTAAAACCTCATCACTTGTAACTACCTCTGGTCAGTAAATGTAGTACCCCAGCCAGTAGCTGTCTAAAGTTTTTTCAAGTTCTATCATCATAATTCCAACACTCTTAATATATGCACTCCTCAGATAAATGTCTCCATTAATTCATAGATTCTAGGACTGGAAGGGACCTCGAGAGGTCATCGAGTCCAGTCCCCTGCCCGTATGGCAGGACCAAATACTGTCTAGACCATCCCTGATAGACATTTATCTAACCTACTCTTAAATATCTCCAGAGATGGAGATTCCACAACCTCCCTAGGCAATTTATTCCAGTATTTAACCACCCTGACAGTTAGGAACTTTTTCCTAATGTCCAACCTAGACCTCCCTTGCTGCAGTTTAAGCCCATTGCTTCTTGTTCTATCCTTAGAGCCTAAGGTGAACAAGTTTTCTCCCTCCTCCTTATGACACCCTTTTAGATACCTGAAAACTGCTATCATGTCCCCTCTCAGTCTTCTCTTTTCCAAACTAAACAAACCCAATGCTTTCAGCCTTCCTTCATAGGTCATGTTCTCAAGACTTTTAATCATTCTTGTTGCTCTTCTCTGGACCCTTTCCAATTTCTCCACATCTTTCTTGAAATGCGGTGCCCAGAACTGGACACAATACTCCAGCTGAGGCCTAACCAGAGCAGAGTAGAGCGGAAGAATGACTTCTCGTGTCTTGCTCACAACACACCTGTTAATACATCCCAGAATCATGTTTGCTTTTTTTGCAACAGCGTCACACTCTTGACTCATATTTAGCTTGTGGTCCACTATAACCTCTAGATCCCTTTCTGCCGTACTCCTTCCTAGACAGTCTCTTCCCATTCTGTATGTGTGAAACTGATTTTTTCTTCCTAAGTGGAGCACTTTGCATTTGTCTTTGTTAAACTTCATCCTGTTTAACTCAGACCATTTCTCCAATTTGTCCAGATGTTGGGATGGACTCACAAAAATAAGAACCAAAGTGTTTAAGTTATCATGTGTGATACACTTTGTAAAATGCTAACCTTGACTAGTTTTTTTTTATTGTGCTTTTAACAGTCTTTACAGGACTAAAACAGTTTACCGCTAGCCTTTCCTCCACACTTCAATATTGGTGACTATACCCTCAATTCACCAAACCACCTGGGTCCGGTTTTCAAGCCAGGAATAGGTGCATATAATTGTATTTGCACATGGCAAATCCATTTCAATCCTACTTAAGAGCTAAAATTCAGGCCCCATAAATATGCAAGAATGAAGTGTTCTCACAAGGCTGAGATGTGTATAAATGGAACAAATATTTATGTTACTTTGAGTGGAAAGGAGAATCAAATGTCAATTAGGCATAAGTGTATTTTTTATTGTGCAGTCAAAGTAACTGGTAGAAAAGAGTTAGACACTTTTCATTTCAACAAATGAACAAAAGTCCTTAAACACAATTATATGAATAGTTAACTTCCATACAGCTAGTTGGGCCTAGAAATAATTAGCTACAAACCCACATGTAGAGTGCTTGAGTCATGAGTGCTTAAAAATATGTTTTATTCTAATTTATGCATTTAAGTCACCATGTTTTGAGAAAAGATTTAATCCTTTCATTCCATCATGCCACTTTATTAACAAATCAAAGCTGCTTATAATGGAAAGCCTTGTACTCTTTTGTATTACATCTGCAGCAATGGATGATAAATATTTGGTCAGTTTCACTACTGCATGTCCAGCAATAATACTAACCAGCCATTTGTCAGTTTCACTTTACTTGGGAAAGTAGCAGAGGTACAGGAGATTTTAGGGATGGGGAAGGAGAAATGAGAGGGGAGCAAAGAAAAACCATTCAAGATGTCAGAGAAAGCCAGAAGAGGTTCCCCCCTCTCTACCACCAACTTGAAAGGTTATACTGATGCAGCATAACAATCCATCCTTGCAGAAAGCTGAGGGAAGGTGGGAAGTATAGCACTCAACAGGTGAAGTGAGCATTAGGCTCCTTACCATGTTCCTGATTCTGCTGGCAGATTGGGGGCTATATCCCCATCTTTCTCTCCTTTTGTAATGCCTGACTTGACTTTTGTACCTTCCTCCCCCTAGTGGTTTTTGAGTAAAAAGCGTTACCTATCAAGATCCAAATTTCTCTCAAGTACTGTTTCTCTCATGCAACAGTTGATGACATGCTGACTTGTAAACGGAGCTGTATTCTTTTTCAGTAGTGGATTGTGTTAATTTTCTTAAGCTTCTAAACTCTTGTCTTCCACAGAGAGTTAAGAGGAAAAAAAATTAACTCCCATTTTAATAATGTACTTATTTGCAGACAGTCTGTTACTGAATGGTGACCTCAAAATTTTTTGGGAAGCATTCCAGGTCACCTTTAAAATGAATTAAATCAATTATATACTATAAGTAAGTATTAAAACAAGACAAAGTTCTACTTTCTTGTTCAAATATAAACATGTTAATTAAAAAAAACAGACTGACAGGCCTGTGAGTGAATTCCTCCATTTATCTTCAGAACAGATTGTAGATTAATTCTGTAACTAGATGGTCAACTCTTTGGGGCAGGGACTCTGTGTTCATACGTGCTCAGCATATTGAGACCCTGATCTCAACAGGGGCTTCCAGATGCTACTGTAATACAAATATAGAAAACATACAAACATAGGTAGTGACAGGAGGCTGTTTTCCTCACACAACCCAGAATGCCATCATTTCGCTCTTGGGAGAGAGGACCCAATTAAGCATGAAAAGGAGTTCATTCAATCCCTTGCCTCTCAGCTGAGAGGGACATGGGAGTTATGGTGGTTGTGTGATGTAGTTGTAGACCATTTAGTGGGACATTGTGAAATGAGTTATCAGTTTCAGTCTTAGGCCACTGAATAAGCAAATTAAAGACAGACTCCCCCTGCCTCTCACAAAGAGGTGAGATAAAGATGGAGTATCAGATTCCACCAAGTTTCCTGGTCACTCATTACTTTATTTAAGGCAGATGTGTATTTATTGGTAATAGTATTTGCTACTAGCACTCCTTCCACCTTGCTATCAGAAAACTAGTTTTGATCAGTACCTTCATCTAGCAGGAACCAAAGATGCAAAAATAATCTCCACCAAAACACAATGAAACATACATCTCTTCCTTATCATTCAAAAAACTTCATAATTAGAAAGCCTTAATATCCTATCCCACAACATTTAATTAAGCCTTGAGTCTTCAAAGAGTAAAATGAGCAGAAGAGGACTTCAATCATTCCAGTAAGATGTTTATCACACTTCCTCGCTATACTAGCAACAAACCCTAAACACAGGAAGCACTCAAAGCTAGCCAAATCATAAACATCCCTGAAGACAGGAGCAGCTCCTGTCTAAGGCCTGGTCTACACTACGACTTTAATTCGGATTTAGCTGCGTTAATCCGAATTAACCCTTCACCCGTCCACACTACAGAGCCAGTTAATTCGAATTAAAGGGCACTTAAAATCGATTTCTGTACTCCACCTCGACGAACGGAGTAGCGCCTAAATCGATTTTGTTAATTCGAATTAGGGTTAGTGTGGCCGCACACCACCGAATTACTGTGTTTAAATTAATGGGGTAGTGTGGCCGCACACCACCGAATTAATGTGGTTAAAAACCGAATTAATGTGCTTAGTGTGGCCGCGCACAATCGAATTTATACAACCTGTTTCCCAAATTCGAATTATCTAAATTCGGATTAATCCTGTAGTGTAGACATACCCTAAGAGAAGAACTTAATTCTCTTGCATCTTGGACTGTAAACCCTCTAGGGGAAGAGATCATACCTTGCCTATAAAGCACCATTTATTTATGCACTGCCATAAACATATCAGTGTAGCAATCTTGCAAATAACAGTTGCCATTCTCCCAACAGTATGAAGTGTGACTTGCCAAGAAGCCAAGACAACTATAAGTACAAGACAAGACAACTGTTCCCTCCTTAATTAAGCAAACAACAGAAGTATTAGAGAATTTAGGAGCTTGGAAACAGATAGATTGATTTTTTGAAGTAGGAAGAACTACCACTTGTTATATAAAAAATATATAAAGCTATATACAAAAACAGTGCATCTAAAAGTGTCTTTTACTATTATTAGCTTCATCCTTGCAATACATCCCTACAATGAATTGTATGGTATGTTCAACTAAGATTGTAAGTTCCTTGGGGGATGGATAGACCTCTTGTTTTGCTTGTGAATAATTGTATTGGAATTTCTTCCAACTGTGGAAGTTACTAGTGACCCCCCTTAACAGCTAGCAGCCTTTATGTCAACCAGTGGCCATTAGGGGGAAGCAGATACCGCACTACACAGTAGCCTGAACTTTTGAACTGTCTTCTCTCCTCTGCCTTAAGGCAGAGGGAACTAGCCCCAAGCCGGTTTTCACTGACCAGATAGCAGAAGCACGGGTCTGGCAACCACCAATCAAGTGTTAACACGGCAAGGGTCTTTGTCTGAATGTGTATAAAGGATCTGTGAAATTTGTGTAAGACAGAGTTTTTGTACCA